CACTTGCTGAACGGTCGAACAATTATTCACCTTGTGCAATAGAAGGAGAGGAGAGGCACACCGGTGTGTGACGAAGCACATAATAAGGAACTCCTCGAAAGGGGGAACATGACGCTGCTGCGGACAAACTGCCTTTGAGTAGATGCGAGCAACACGGCACTCCTGTGACGCACACGGCACGACGCTCGGAACCCCGTTAAGTGCCTTCGAGCGAAGCGAGTCACACAACACTGTGACCGCACACTGCACCGCGCCCGAAACCTCGCCAATTGCCTTCGAGCGAAGCGAGTCACACGGCACTGTAACCGCACACTGCACCGCGTCCGGAACCCCGTGAAGTGTGTCTGCGAGCGAAGCGAGTTACGATGCCACTTTGTCTTACTCCAAAACCATTACACAAACAACAACACACCAAACCAGGCTATGAATTTTTGTTGGTGGTCGTGTTGCTGCGCTTTATTTCTGTTTTTGTTCTTGTTCTTGTTCTGTTGTGTTTGTTATTGTGTAAGTCATCTTCTGCTCGGTGTCGCCGAAGCTCCATACCAAGAACTCCCACGACACCTCTTCTACGATATACTGCTGTACGTGCCGTCTTTTTTCGTTTTCTTGGGTGTACTGAGGATTATTGAGGGAACATTCTTTGGCACTGTTATCGGGAAAATCAAGAGGGTAGGAAAATGGGCCCGAGAGGCAGGTGGAGGACTAGTTCTATTTGGGGGCGACGCAACGTGAATGGGGACGGGAGCACACAGCAACCGCATCGAGAGAGCGAGTGCTGAGTGCTCTCGAAAGCGCGGCGTGAAGAACAAAGCGAGGGAGGGCGGGAGGGAGGGCGGTCAAATAGAGTCAGTCCGCCTTTATATAATGGTAGTGTTTTAGTGCAGGCCGTTCCCGATTAATGAATCACCGCAAGCAGTTTCCACCTACCCCAGCACGCCCTTGCATTTCCAATCCGAGATAACAGAGAAGAACTCCTCTGTGGTGGTTGCCATTCTACCCCAACAAGGCTGGTCGTGCGTTCCCTCCGTACATTCTCCGCCGTATACACCTGCGGGACATCGTTCCGCGCACAAAGACGGAACGCTGATTCAAAACTCACCGCCAAAGAGTCATCGAGTAATCTCCTGCTTTGAGCTGAGCTTGGAGTTGTCATCGTCGAGCCGTACATGGTCACTCAGCCCTTCTCTCTCTCTCGGCCTCTCCCTACGCGCTGTGCGAGACAGACACAACCGCGTGTGTGCTCGCGTAGAACTTCACAGGGCTTCCGCCAACCATGTATGCGAGGGGTTGCAGCATACTGTGTATCCTCTGCGATGCCCCCCGAGAGAGAGCCGGAGGAACACACAGTCAGCAGCCACACAATCACCCAGCCAGGAAGGGGAGAGAGAGATAGCGGATAAACCAAACACCATGAGGGACCGAGCAATGTGAGTGAGTGTGTCACGGTGGAGTAGTGGCGAAAAGCGCTTCAAATCGTACCAGTGCATTTTTTTTTTTTTTTCAAGCATGATATCGCGACCGTCACGCAGCCTGTAGTATGGCAGACGTTGGCTGTTGGGTCGTTTAGGTGTGGCAGCCGGTGGGTGTGTCTAGCCACGTGCGATGTGATCACGACTTGGCCGTGGCACTCGGTGGTGAAGACGTCGATGTTGGCGTGTTCATCTTTCACGTCTCCGTTTCATTAGCTGTTGGGTACCAGAGGAGGTGGCAAGAGTTACAGCAGTAGCTATTGGGGCAGCAACTCAAGTTTGTTGAGAGGACACTTCTGTTCGTTCTCGTTGTTCTCGTTGGCCTACAATTGTGTGCATGCGTGGATTGGTGGGACGTATGTATGGATTTCGGAACAACCTCAGCGGACATGCGGACGTTGCCTTAGCAATGGTATGCCACGAACAGGTATATAAAGCGGTCGGCAGTCCAATATTTCAATCTGCAGAAATTGAGGATTGGCTTGTTGAAATATCCCGTGATCTGAAGGCATGGACTCGGCCGAAGATCCTTCATTTCCAGAGAGATTTGTACTGCTGTAGACTCCGTGAGTTGCAAACGACGTCTATCCTTGAGTCTCCCCTCTGTATCTCCCTGAGCAAGCGCTCGCACCCCCGATCCCGATGTACTCTGGGTGCTCTCCGGCCAGAGCGTCAAAGCCTGCAGGAGTGTGGCCATGTAGACGCTGCAGAGGAGCAGCCAAGGTTTGTCCCGGTACGGATGTCACCGTCCAAAAAGCCTGTTCTGCCTCGCGGGAGACGGGGATATTTATCGGCGTACTGTAGACCTACTATGCAAATTATTTCTCACGTTGCATGAGATACCGCACCCTCTGGACCGATTTTCAAATCTCGATCACCTGGCAGGAAAACAGCAGTGGTGGTGGCGGCAATGTCGGCATTGGAACTGTCTCGTCGAGAGCTTTCCGAAAGTGTATGCGTAACACCATATTTGATATCGGCGTCCTCTTCGTCGTGGACAAACGCAAATGCAAACCAAACCAAGTTACCGTCCGTTCATCACCTCTTTCAGCCCCCCCGTCGGTCTATTGTCGGATGGTGTGTACGGTAACGACGTGTCTGGCGCGCTTCGAAATGGCAGGAGGGTGGCCAAGTGCGCCACGCTCCCCAGCAACACGGCGCAGAGGGTGAGTGAGATCATCAATCAGACAGAGGTACTTCGCTGGCTTCTAAGGAGTTCTTAAGTACCTATGTACTCTGTCAAACATCACAACATGTAAGCCACACCAGTAGAGCTCTTTTGCAGTTGCGGTGTAAGCACACCCGCATGTGATGCCTGGCATCACTGCCCGGTGACGGAATATCCAGTAGCCTTGGCGAGAATATTAGCTTGGTTTATTTAGGGATAGGGATACGCAAAACCCCGCTCTATTTCATTAATTGATGATATGGTCCTCGCGAAGGCGGTCCGGATTATCGTCGCTTGATCCCACCTCAACGCATGAGTTTTCGACGCCTCCCTGTGTTGGAAAACCCCACGCCGAAGGGATGTTCCGAAAAATCATAAAAGAAAATTTACCATTTTGGGGGAAAGACACTCCGACCGTGGCCGAGAGAACGAGGAATCCGATATCATGATCTCAATTGCGACACGGAGTATCCCTCGTGTGCAAAAGCCTGTGCAAAGGATTAAATACCTGCGGTCGAGGCCTACACCGTTCAAATATCCTCATACCCCATCCGTTGATGTCGCATAATGTGGTGGTACCGGTCTCTAGCCACGAGTGGTTTTCTGTTTTCGGCTCTTCTACACCATCCGTGTGTAGCCGAAAATGCGGCGTATCTGTCGTTTGGACCCGCTTCGCTGATTTGGGTATCATTTTTGTGTTGTTTCGTTTTTTCGGCGCATGTGGCCCCGCCTTTATACTTCATGTCTTCCTGCCCCTTCAGCGTGGCGCCCTCGTTTTGTATTGCACGCCGACAGCACGCGGCTACCGCTGGGTCGGCTCGTCTCCCTCCCCACTTGGCCGTTCCTTTCGTACGATGGTAAGGCCCGACTATGTACATGTAAAAACCTCGTCTTGGTTCCACTGACCAAAGCCGTGCGCTTCGCTGTTCGCACAGTATCACGAGCAACAGGTGGAAGAGCATTTGGAGCTGGCGGCGCGGGGGAGATTGAGGTGCTTCGCATGCGGAAAAAGGCGAGTGCACTCATCATTACTCTTTGCTGTGTTTCGTTTTCGCCCTGCGCTGCCGAGGGGGAGGGGAGTGTACTCATTGTCGTGCATGCCGTAGTCGTTAGACCATTGACCTCTCATCCCTACAAAGCCGGGACGGAGCACGCCGGGTTCTCACCGGACCAGGCTCTCATATCACCAAGCGCAATACGCCGTGAGGTATTCGGCGAGTCGCATGAAGGGTGCGCTGCATCCTGCTAAGGGTGTTCGGCATCTTGTGCTTACTTCCTTGCGTACGGATGACAGCTGCGTATGACTTACTTTATTTTCTGGTGCTTTCACTTCCAGAGACAGTTGTAGGCACTGTGTAACTGCCTCGAGGGTGCTTGACCATTGTAACACGACGTGGTGCGATCATCTCCCTTGCGTGGAGTGAGGGTTCTCGACCCCGCACAACATAGTCTACTCGACCACCATTTTGGTTACCGCCAAAACAGAACCAGAGGTAAAAAAAAAAAACGGTATCCTGGTCGCCGAGTTCATGGAGTGAAATGGCTTGTTTTTTTCAACGTCGTTGCCAGGCGACGAAAACCCAATCCCGATGGCAAACACCGGGGGGG